TGAAATGACTACACAGAAATGATCAACGATCATTGAATGTCAAAGAAACTTCTCCACGAAATGGAGCGACATTGAGTTTCATCGTGGCTTTTCTTCGTTGCACTTCGAATAATGAAACTGTATCTTCAACGGAGCTGCTTTATTTTGCAACACATTATCAGTTTGAGAATGAGGTACAGCTGAATCACCCCAACTCGAATACCTCAATACTGTTCTTCGAATTTCATTTTAATTCCTTTCCTAAATTCCTGCAGAAACATTCCATTAAAAACCTCCTTACCTTGAAGGCTTTCCCTTCAAGCCTCTATAACCAGCATTTTCTGCAGGTTTTATCGCATTTATTTTACTGACAAAGGAAAGAGGAAAGTAATAAAAAATTAACGATTAGTTTTGAAAGGAAGTGATGGACTAAGAGGACAAATAAACCCTTGTCTTACTACAGCATCCTGTCAACTCATTTAAGAAGCAATTCAAGGCCCAGAATATCACTTTCCCGCAATTATTTTTCTTAAGTCCCCCAACAAAAATGCTGTGTCCATCAACTCGAAACCTCGTTAACTCGAATTTTTCCGGGTCCTTCGAAGTTTTACTCGATAAGTTTCGACTACTGTATGACGATTTGAGCGATCAGAGCGAGTAGTACAGTACTGTACTGTATTTGAAGTCAAACGATTTCATGATACGAATTTTTCCTGACCAGAATTCTGCTGCTGGATTTACGGGAGTGATTTGAGAATTCCAAAAAAATACGGTTACACGAAAATTTAACATTCTAAGTACGAGACGGAAGGCGGACTTTCTGATATCGACGGTCCGATCAACTGCAGAACATTTGCTCATGCGTGCGGAGGCTTTCAGCGAAAGCCACATATTCATCACAGAACTGTCGCACGCTTTCTCCTCGAAGGGCTTTCACTTGATGCAAAACGATTTCGAACGCGTCCATATAACGATCGAAAGATACCCTTCGGTGACCACGAAAAAAGCCAAGAAATGGCCGACTGAAGAGCCCGCACGGATGGAACGGGAAACGTGTCAATGAACCCTCGAAAAGAAATAAGTGACGATTTTTCACGCTAGCTTCCTGCAGAGAGGAAGCAAGAATGGTCCTTCTTCGCTTCTCACGGATACTGAAGCTACTCATAAAACTCTAAAATTAACGATCCATGAATCATATGCATTCCACTACACTCGAAGCACAATCACACCAGCATTTTTAATAGCTCTGAAACCACAGGAGCTCCTTCAATCGCACAAGAACGAGTCGATTACGATTATTGTGATCATTGTAGGCGAAACGGATTCATCCAGGAGAAATTCAGCATTAAATACACGCATGAGATTCACTTGGACAACGGAATACCTCTGTATGTACAAGTCAATATTGTGATTTGAGTAAGCTTGCTGAGAAGACGTGGATCATGGGGGGGGGGGGGATTTCATATTGAGAACATAGCTCTTACCCCACGGGACTGCCAATATCCAGAAGTGGACAATAATTCAAGGTACTACAAATAACAACGCTTGGTCATTCAGCACTGTATTTTAGCTTTTTCTGTCTTCTTGCAATATTTTCATACGCCCTGCAGCTGCATGAGGGCAACCTAGCAATAATAACCCATAAAATAATTCTGGGTTGGAGGTCGAATTGCGAGGTACCACCAGTACTGACCAAACCCAAAACATGGCTAATGCAAACAATACGGAGCCAGATCAACCTACGACCAAACAAACCTGACCCATTGATGTATGTTTTCTGAAATCCGTTGCAAAAAAAAAGTTTGCCCACGGAAATGTTGCAGCGAAACCAGAGCGCGAATTCCTTCGACGAGGTTTCAAATGAGTCACCTATATATTGTGCTTAAGAGAGGTTGTGTGCGATCGTCAAGGTTCAAATCATTCCCGGTTGGCGCCGATCCGTAATCGAACCCATGATAATAACAGGTCGCTAGGAACCAGCGAAGATCAAAGATGCTTGCGTGCAGCAAAAAATACCCAATAAGAATTCTGCTCACCACCGGACAACCAAAGTAGCGGTTCCGCCATGAGAAAAACAAGAGCCCCCGTTTCGCGTGCAACCTGTACACGGTTTACGACCGGGAAGAAGAGTTTGTGGATTGTGGTTGCGAAGGAAGGAAGGAAGAAATAAGCAATGCCGGAGAGAAGGAATTAGAGTTTTAAAACCGCGATGGAAGAAAAACGCGGTGGACTGTGAAGCTCGGAAAAGAACAGTGGCGAAGCGGATGACTCACCCTCGCAGTACTAGACAGGGAAATGCACCGGAGGGCGCTAATCACGTTCCACTGCGCAAAAACACGGAGGCAATTTTCTCGTTCGTTGACATTTCCACCTTCTCTTGATCGTTTCACAATCGCAGCTGTACATATTGTTCTCCTGCATTTAAACACACGGTACTCTACTGCATTTCCGCAATTACACGCCACATTCACCTCCAAGTCAAATCAAGACTTCAGGTCCTGGTTTTTGAGCCGTCAAATCGAACGAAAAAGGTTTACACAGGAATCTAGCATAACTGAATTCGTATTTCACGTGAAGTCATCCTCATGAGCATTATTGTCAATATCGTGACAATTGGGGGAAACACGTTTTTAAAGAGAAAAATTTCCATATTGCTGGAATTTCACTTCATCCTAGCAGACGTAATCTCACTGAAGAACGAAAGATGATACTGTACATAATTCATTATGTCGAAGGAAAAGCGTTGTTTTTTTCCAGATCATCGTTGGCCAGTATTTCGCATGGGGATTCGAGAAGAGCCCGATGCATGGGAAATCAAATTTTGAGAAGAGGAATGCATTACATCCGTTCACGGAAGTAGGGCAATCGTAATTCCGGAACGTTCCTGGTCATTATCAAACGCAAGGAGAAGCACAAATTCCATCAGATATGGTTCTGTTCTAAGATGTTCTAAGACAACTCCGAGTCCCTTCCAGCGCCACACCCATATTGCAAACGCGACCACGAGGGACGCTTCGCGAATAGATGCCAACGACGGATATGTTAAAAAATTGAAAAAATGACATTTCACCCATAAACAAGCTTCACTCAGCATTCCATATTTACCCATCACCCAAAATATTTCGAAATTTGTGGACTATGTGAACAGGAATCGCGCCATGCATAGGAGCGTTGTAGGTGAGTATTCCAGAAACACGAGGATCGTACCTTTAAATATCCACTGCAGACTGTTCCGTCGCTTGATGGTCGGGGGTTTCTGAGGAGTTTCAGACACTCCGTTCTGTTCATCCTTCGACTTATCCAATCTCGTCCAGAGATGTACCACCATGATTTCAAGTCAGTTTAATGTTCGGAACAGCCAAATCAGACACAAAACTTCACTCGCACAAGAAACTGACAAGTCTTGGCGTTTCCTGCGCCAGCAAACACGAATCAGCGTAGAATAAAAGAGCTCCGTGAGTGAAACAAACCCCACGTTCCAGACGAGAGCCCAACAAGATACTCAAGGGCGGCTCTTGGAACTCCGTCATGAATATATGCAGCTCAGCCGGAGTGGCGCACCACGGGCGCCAGAATCGGAAATTACCGGCGCCGCAAGTTCGGTCTCACGGCCTCCTTCTCTGCCCTCCCTCCCGAATTATATATTTTTGTAGCACAACGGGGACAAGCTCTGAACACCCGGATCAGACGACCGCCAGAATTTTCAAAGGCCGTGAGACAGGTGGTAGAACCGGTAAACAAGCTATGCGTTCATTCCACGCGGAATCGGGATCACAAACTGAGCGTCTTCCCGTACGATTTACTACAAGCCATTGAGAATGTGTTCCCAACAGCTACAGAAGGGAAGCGATCTCTTCAACATCACACCGCGAACAGATTATCTGGGCTGACGCACTCTCCGAGAAACGCGCCAACACTATGAGCATACCTACGCCGCCTCATCAAAACTACTCTTCTACAAATACAGTAATGTAAAATTAGAGTATATTATTTGGGAAACTTAAACGTGCAATCCTCAAGCAGAAATTTCAAACTACATGAACAAAAAGTCTTCACGAGAGCTACAGATTAAATGAATATTAACGGATTCACGGCGGAGATAATAATGAACTCACCCTTCTCCATGATCGGCGTAAGTCAGCAAGGAACACCAGCTTTCCCGATATCGCACAATTCCACGAGTTTTGTTTAGTTTCACGAACATTGAAGTATAATCAAGAAGTCAACATCATCGAGTCACGACGTGATTAATTATCTGCACGATCAACAAGGGATTATCATTGTAAGCTTAATTCCGGGAGAGAATATTTTCTATCCCGATTCGTCCATCGCTCGGGTCAGGCTTTCCGTTTTCCGGTAGAATGCCAGTTGGTACTGGACGGTACCTCACCAAGGCATTCTAGGAAATGCAGGTGGACCCCTTCCTCGCCAAAGCAATGCGCTACACACAGAGCTTTATCGATCCTTGCTGATCTTCCGGAGAAAACGTGGAAGTTGCACAGAAAATACAAGGGATGCGTCGATACCCACGAATAGAAAAATCCATCTGCGATTATTTGGAAGCTATCCATGATGGCATCTACGGTCTTCAATTCGTGAGTTGTCATCGTCGTTAATCGAATCCAAGTCATTACATGTGGTCTGATTAAAATTACGATAACCAACGAAAATACAACGAATACTCGCATTCATGAAGAACAGATTGGGAGTGATGATCCGAACTTCCTGCAATTCGAATGCCCGAAGAGAAATTTTGAGAAGTGGGGTGAGAGTAAAACGATGAAACAAACGGGTCTCTCAAGCGACACCTAGCGCAGACGGTCAACAACAGAACATATAATGCTGTATTGCTCAGGACCTCGACTTCCTCCAAGAACACGCCATCTCTTAGACATTGTGTGAATACGCGTGTTGTGCAAGAAATGCTTCATTCTTACGTCAATACGGCACAAGTTGTCGTTCTATGTTGATGTTTTGAATTCCGTGGCGCCCATCAATTTTAGTGGCATGGCCTCGCTTCTTTTGTTCTCTTTCTTTTGAAGATGTAATGTGATGAACGTTCATAGCGTATGCTCTGTCCTTCGCTTTCCCGAAGTGTTGCCTGAACTCGGGCTTGCAGAGAGATAACGGTTTCCCCAACCTAATGGGGGAAGAATCAGACTTCTGGGACCGCAGCGCGGCTCTATCCGAAATCATGATTCGTGGTGACGCATCACGACTGATTCGTTACGCCCGTCAATGGAACGCCGTTTGCCATACTGGTAAGAATTATCTAGTTGTGGCGTTTGTCATTCGTAATTTGTGTTTTTTTATTTCAGGAATGTTCAAGAACTGGACCCCTGTGATTGTCTGTGGCCAGCACTCTGGTTTTGTCACTCCTGAAATGAAGGCAGTTGTTAAGAACTTCCCCGAACTCTTCAGCGTCAATGAACACAGTGTGGAACTCAATCGAAAATTCAGCACGTGCGAAGAGCGTTCTCTAGCTGTTGGAAAATTCATCGAAACTCTTCGCAAGCAGCGCAAACCTGGTGATCCTTTCTACAAGGCTTTCGATTACTGGCGAAATGAGGTTTACGACGTTTGGGGATCGAAACATGATGTACCTCTGCTTCAGATGGAACGATCCTGCATGTGTGAGTATATTTTGTTGGTTCCATATCTTGGCTGAAGGGGTCCTGCAATCTGCGCTTGGATGTGTAGGCTTGCTGGGCTTTAGGCATTACGCGGTTTTTCTGAACGGATTTGTGAGGCATCCGGAACGAGGGCTGTGTGTGTGGTTTCAGAAGCGCGCTCTCTCGAAAACAACGTGGCCAGGAAAATGGGACGTGATGGTGAATATTTGGTATTTTTGAGTGGGTTATTTTCCTTTGCGTAGAACAGCTGTGGGTGCTATGGAATGAATGATACTAAATTGGAGTGTGTCGGATGTACTGCTGAAGTCCGTCACAGGCTTGTTAGATTTTTTATTTACGATGTGACGACTTCTATGCATTGTAAATGACGCAGAGTTCCAGTTCGTTATTGTGTCTTGACTTATTTTAGGCTGGTGGTGGAACGACATCCGGACAAAAGGTTCGTGAAAGCGTGATGAGAGAAGCCTGCGAAGAAGCTTCAATCAAGTTAGATGTAAGGTTTTCTCAATTTTTCTCTTCGGATTTATTCAAGTTTTTTTCCGTTGTCAGTGGATGGACGCGAGGATACGATTTGCCGGATGTGTGTCGTTCTTTCACCAAGATCCTCGCGGAATATTTCCGAACGTCTACCACGTCTTCGACGTCGAACTTGATCCCGATTTGAGCCCCGAACCCGGTGACGGAGAAGCATCCGAATTCCAGCTCTTGGATACCGCTGAAGCCTTGGATCTCGTGTGTTCTGGACAGTTCAAAATGACGAGTGGGCCTGTGGTTGTAGACTTCCTCATCAGACATGGTGTTATTAATCCTGATGAAGGTGAATGTCATTCATTTTTCGGAGGATAGTATCGCACGATTTCGACGCATGACTGTGCATCCCGTTTCAAAATGGAAATTTGGGAAATTGATCTTGTAAAAATTTTGACAATTATTAATTTTTAAACATGTGTAAGATTTTGAAGGAGAACAGACTTGACTATTTGTTTGTGTGAGGTTCTCTGCTGGGAAAATTGGCAGTCTCAGTGGTTCATCGTAAACTTTTTTCGTTTGCGCACTGAGATAGACTTCTCGTGGGTTTGAGTGGCTTTTGTGACTGTAGAACACTTCTAAAAAATGCTTGGCATTTATAGGTACGATGTTTTCGTTTATTGGAGAAGAGAATTTGCCATCCTCTTGAAAAGATTCGGCTTCTTGAGTTGAAGCTCCAAGTTCCAGCTCTTCTGCACGTGGCGTCGGTACCCTTTTCTCCGTCGAAGAGCAAAATTGTTTTTCATAATATTTCCGGTTTCTCGTTTTTTTTGTTCAATGTTTTAATTTGCATGGTGAGGGTTCATCAGAGATGCAAAAAAAAAGTCTTGGTGCAAGAATCTTTTGCATATGGCCTCGAGAGCTCCTCCTTTCGGGCGAGGATCTTTTGAGTATTTTGTATTGTTCATGTGTTACAGTCTGAAGATTTTAACGCATATCTACGTCAGAATTCGTTCAAACCCACCTGCCAGCAGGTAGATCACATTCCTGTCAAATCAATGTTCGTCGTGTACCACGCCCTCCATCTTTCCCGAGCCTGGGTAAATGCTGGCAAAAGTACCATGATGGATCTCTATCCCCCTATGATCTGGGATGCAAAATTTCCGTTTTGTAAATGGGAGTTAAGTTCGAGTCGTAGAATCCATTCCACTCTGAATTCAAACTGCTGAACCGATGATGCAAACTTTGAGCTCTGAAATTATAGATTTGGAATCGAATGATCGTGCTTTCGTGTCTGAATAACGAAGCATGTGTGGTCATTGCAGTTTTAGATTTAAAATGCGCATAAATCTGCATTAAATTTAACATATGCATGAAATTTGACACATTTCTGATACGCATTTTTTCCAAAGTGAGGATCATTCCGTGTATGTGAGGATCATTCCTTAATTATTCATTTGGGAACCAGGGATACGCGTAAAATTTGGTATTATTGAATTGTGAACTCTTCTACTTGACATACCGAAGTTTCAACGCGTACAAAATTACCGCGAAGGCAGGATAAAAAACTCATTTCACTGATGTATCTTCTTTGATTTTCAGAACCATACTATGCTGAGCTCGTCGAACATCTGCATGCGCCGCTTCACATTCCTCATGGCTGCTTCCAATCGAATGGATACGAGTAAAAACTCGAAAGCTACGACAGTTCCTCTTGAGTTATCTTGCAATAATTCTCATGATTGTTCAAATATTGAGAGCTAGTGGAAACTTCCGAACCTCGTCAGCGTGAGGGACTTTCGTCCGTGCTTCGTGAATGTTTGTTTTTTCTTTGAAAAGAACTTGACGAAGTTTCACCTTTTGCCAAGTTTCGAATTTCAAGATTTTCCTTCCAGACTTCGTTTTTCCCGTTGACTGCCTGAAACTTTGTAAGACAAGTTGTGGGTTGAGAGGCTCAAGTGATGAAATGGGTAGATTCTTGTGTTCGATTTGGTTCTGCCTCGGGGCTGGAAGACAAAGAGCCGAAGCTTTTATAGCTGATTTTTTTGCCGGTTTTAGCGTTTAAGAGGCTTTATTCTTGAACAGTCTATCGATGGGAAACGGTAATGAAATGTGGTATCAATACTCCTGTCTGCACTATTGGTCATCATTCCCCAAATTTCATTTTGCCCACAGGGTTGCTTTTCGTCATTTCAGCACAGTCGACGCCATCACGAAGTTCCGGTGTTGCCTTTCATGTAATGCACCCCAAATACAATCCTTGTTCATGCGCTGATGATGCATCTTACATTATTGCCGTCGGCATTTAAGAACGAAATTTTCTTTGTTCAACTGGGTGGAAGAGAAAGTGAGAATTATCTACCTGGAGCTCCTGCCATTCTTCATTGAATTTGGGAGATTTTCGCTGCTTTTTTGAGCATGGAAGTGATGTTTCTTTACAATGGTTTAAGATGATGAAGTCTAATCTGCGGTTTACCAATTTATTTATTCACGTTACGCGCGTAGCCCTTCTTGAAATAAATTCTGATGGCGGGGCTCCATAGGCATAGTCCATTTCAGACAATTGGAACTGCTGTATATCCCTGCAAAGTGACGTCATTTGTTGCGTTTTACTGGGAGTCAAGCTTTTGAATGTTTGTTTCAATCACAGTGCAGTAGTACAGATATTTTACAACTCGTCTTCCTTGTACAGTACTGTGAGCGTCCGCAGAACGCGTGAAGCTCCAAGGAGCACAGCGCTGATGAAGAATTACTGCTATTAACTATTGACTTGCTGTAAATGAATTTATTTTAAATTTCCGAATTGGATTCCATGGAATTCTTCAGATGATATTGTCTTCTTATTATTTTTAAAATCCACTTCTTCCGGAACGTATTTTGTAATTGCTTCAAGAAATCACTGGAGTGGATGCATTGGAGCTCTTCGGTGTTCGAGGAAGTTTATTCCGGTGTATTTTGCCTCGTCGTTCATATACATTTTGCATTTGTTTTGTATCTCTTAAGGAAATGGAGGACACAGCTTGAAGTGTGTTCGTTGCGATTGTGCCTCCTGAGCACGATATATGTACGGCGTTTTCCATTCGTTTCCCTGTGCTGGAAAACCAATTTACTGGATAGCTCTCGAGAACCTGCAGGAGCTCGCGGTCCCAAGATTGTTTGCAGGTTTCTAGCAGAAGCGGGAGTCCGGAGATGAATTTTCGCCCAAATGCGGTGCGTGGGCAAGTCCATGAAATGAATAATTGAAAACGGCGAGGTATCTAGCTCCGGTAATTTTACGTTTGTGTGATTAACGTGAAATATGTATGCAATTTTCGCGGGAATGCACGACGGATTTTGTTGTTCTATTACTGAGATTATTCGAACGTGTTCTTTTCTTTTTGAGAATTAGATCCCGTATGAGTGATACAATCTTTCTACCTTCTGCAGATTTGTTGAATTGTAATTTAAGTCCAAACGTTTTTCTCCCGAGAAAATTCATGCGTGCGGGATCTTTGGACGCTGAGCAAATGATCCATTAAGTCTTCTCCGAGGAAACATTTTACGAAATGATAATACAGTATTCGGGGTTCTTTCTTTGCCGAGGCAAATGTAGTTATTCATGTACTATTGCCGAAGTAATTCAAGATTCGTCGAAATTTCATCTGCGAGAGCAGAACAAAAACATTCATTTTATCCACCAAGAGAAAGAATGGGAATTTCAAGACAATGAATTTTTACGATAAGTGTCAGGCACGTGGATTTCGGTCCCGTTTTACGAAGTGGTAGAAGAAATTTAATCGGATTTGGCCGAAATTGCAGCAAAATTATTACGGTTGTTTTTGGGTTCTAGTGGCTGACGTTGAATATTGAAGGAGTTTTCTCCGAAAGCACCGCATTCATTGAGTTTTGAAATTTGAATAAAGTTTATCATTGATTGCTGATGTCCTGATAAAAAATCTGAAAGGGCGAATCAAGGGCCTTCGAGTATGAAAGAAAACATAATTACGAAGTGGTCCTCCTTAAAATCAGTCACAGTACTAAAATGTTCATCACAAAAAGCCTTTCTGAGTAAAAGGCAGTCCGCCAATTATCTCTTTTAAAGCCATTTATGTGTTATTCGCCTTGTAGGCCTTCTAGTGTACAATAACCTTCTGGACTGAAAAAGCGTAGGAATTGTTCTTGATGTTCCGAATTTAGCAAAATTTTGTTTATCGAAATCGAATGTGTTTCTTTTGAACCACCAATGACGACTTGCGATAAGTCAATGATTCAGGCTAGAAAACTTGAGAAAGTTTGTGTTCATTGGTATTTTGGGGATGTGATTTCATCGCATGCCACGACGTGTGAAAATTCTGAAGCTGACAAGAATTGGCGCTTCAAGTTTTCAATTGATCCAAGAACGCGAATCACGGTTTCCCTGTCGCTATCTGGTCTGTGCAAAAGAAGTTTTCCGGGAATGCTGCATCTGTTCTAGCTAGCGAAGTCTCATTAACATATGCGTGGAATTGATCTCGCCTTGTGTACATTGCACTCACAACAGCAAATCAATATCCGTCGATGTCGTTCGGGAATGCCTTCCGGATTCTGTCGTGGTTTCACCGAAATGCCGTTTCGATGCTTGCCGTTCCTTCTTGAGACCCCAGGAGAGCAGGAATAATGTCGAGTGCTCCGGGGAAAAGTGTAAGAGCATCATCGGCTCACAAGCATCGTTCATCGATCTTGCAGGCAACAGCACCGAATCCAGCGCCGGCAGCTCCCGCATTGTTTTTTTGAATGATGGAACATCACATGCCATCTTCTGTGGACGGAAGACGTCGAAAAATTGTTTCCTGATGCAAGTGTGGCAGATATGCTGCTCTGTGCCTTATGTTCCCACAGAGAACCCGTTGATAGCGATTCTTGCGTCTTGATCGAATTCCGAATGGGAAGATTTTTTATTCCCATAATTTAAGCCGCTGTTAATTCCACCAATTCCAATTATAAAGTTTAAATCCGAAACGTGCTTTTTCTTTGAAGAGCGCGTCAGAATTTCTATGAATATACGTGTAATTTTTGCCGCATCTCGAGTGTGAAAGCCAAAAAAATCGTGATGCTCTTTTCCATCCGTGCGCAGTTCATTTTGCTCACAGAGATGCTCTCAGAACTCCTAAATTACAGTTTTCGGAATATTTTTGGGCAATTCAAAAAGCCCCGTTTAAACGTTTTTTTCGATAATCAAAAATATCGTATACGAGCATTAAACTGTACTTTTTCCTCAATTCTTTGTAGTGGAGCCCCTAGATGCGGACATGATTACGATACTTCTTGGACCGCGTCCGCATTTCGGAACTTCGTCCGTATGTCGGATCACATTTTCCCATAGACAATGGGACAATTGTTAATTACTTTTCCAGCTAGGCGAACAAATTAGAACAAAAAGTTCAACAAGAAAGGCTTTCCTCAACTTCAAGATGCGGAAGAAACCACACAGAATTTGCCATCTCAGCATGAAAAGTAGTCCAAAAAGCAAAAAAGCGCATGATGTGCAAAAAGACATATTAAACCGCGTGTTATAAGATACTTCATTTCCAAGATCCCTTAGCATCCTTCAGGAAATCGTGTGATGATGGATCAACAGTTACAAAAGTACCATTGAGAAAATCAACTGCTGCTTCATGAGGGAAAGATCGATAAGCAGCCGGTTTCCCGGTTGTTCCACCGTCACTGCTTAAAGCTGCCATTCCTTCGACAATGCTGTAGTTTTCTTCTATTTTGGGATTTATGGATCTGATTATTGGCAGCATTTCACCATAAACGACCTGGAGCAAGCAAAAGCAATCATCAGCAGCTTAGTCGGTATGTAACGCATTGATGTTGCCATTCCCGTACCCATATGCCGAGCCGTTTTCCGGAAATTTTTGTACCACATGTAGCTTTACTTATGCGGGCGAAATCACTGGATATGCGAAGTGACCCATCTAAGTGGATTGATTTTGAGTCTGTAGCAGCTACACAGTAATTTCTAGAAAATCCATGCGGTTCTTTATTGCGGTATCATTATGCTGCCTGAATCTGTGACTGCAGGGTTTTGTTGATGTTGGTTAGAAGGAGAGCATTAATCTGGTGAATAAATTTGTCGGTGCACCATGATAGCAAAATCAGTAATGTGCATATTAGTGGGAAATGCATTATTATCCAAGCCAGGAATCGAAGCAAAAGCTCAGATCTGCGGAATGGCTGAAAAATGTCGTCATCGTGAATGATGTGCGTTCTTCTAAAATTTTCAAGATGGAGAAAAGGAGAACGATAAAAAAATTAGTTTCCTCTTACCGTTGCCTCAATTTTTCTTCCCTCAAAACTTCGGAGAGAGGTTGTTACCTCGACCAGCAAGTTTCAAAATGTGATCACTGCCATGATATTTTTATGTGAATGTAGGGAACTTTTCTTCTGTACGTTTTGTACAAAATTACCGCCCTGACGTGACCGTATTGAAAATGCGGATGGGATCGATGTGCTATCTCTTCCGCTCACGAGCGTGGAGCGTCTCTTGGAACAGTTTGCTTTTATTCTTTAGTTAATGGAAAATTTTCTCTCCCAGAAAGAGTATAGAGACGAAAACAAATCCACTCTCCCGAGGAATCTGAAAAACCTGTTGGGCTGGCTTTTTCATCCAAATAAGGTGATCCTGAAATGTTTTCCTTTGATCAGATTGATACCGTCCTGGCGACTCAACACGTCTGATCAATTATTGAAGAGCATGCAATCTTCGAACGACATCTTCCCGCTTGCGGTTTTTGTCGGTTAATATTTTGAATTCGATGCAACGCATATTTTTAAAAAAAAAAAAAAAAAAAACGTAGCGTCTATTTTTCCGAAAAAAGGTGCTGATGATGATGGAAAAGGGGAGAGCGCTGAGAAAAACCGCTGCATTGCTTTATTTCGGAACTTCTGTTCAATTTCCGTTCTCTTCTTGTACTGTAGTTCCGTTCACGTTTTGCTGATTTGATTTGTGAGATTTTTTGGGTGCCAAAATGGCACGCAGAAAAGTTGAGCGACATGTTGTTTACAAAACCGCCATTCTTTGTTTGCCGCGATAGAGTCAGGTGGTTCTTTTCAAAGCCGCGAACGTCAGCAAGAACATGCTTATATCTTCAGGCATTTTTCTC